GACGTATCAAAAATTCCGTCTTCCTACGGTTCATCGAGAAAACGATCAGATAAATTTCTTTTCACTGAGTGGCAACACTAGAAAGTAAGCGTCGTTTTATCGCTTGGCATTCTGTTGAAAAAAGAACAATAGCCGGTTCAATCAGATGTCAATAAATAATTAAAATAAACTCTTCACGATCTGTTTACGAGGGATGTGCTCTCATAAAAAAAATGAAAAACAATCGAATCTTTCAGCAGTCACAGCACACCGCGTGTTTTTTATTGCAAGAATGAAAAACAATAAGAAGATGCGCTATTTATAGATGCATCGCTATGTTCATATCTTTTAATTTAATTATGCATCAGATATGAAGGAAGTGAATTTAAAATGAAAGAAAACAATCAGTTATCTTGTATTTGAAGTTAAGTACCATGTTTTCTGATTAGTTACAGTGCCATTTGAGATCAGTAAATATGAATTACGTCCGTTTGATAACTGTAATTGTGGGATATCAAGTGAATTATGGAACTAATTAGAGGTATATCTAATTGTTTCAGAGAGGAATTGCTTGTCTCCAACCGATATTTATCTTTTACTTCACTGTTATTAAGTGGTAAATAGCGATTTTAAGTGACCAACATGTTTATGTAATTTAAAGCATTTTTTTACGTAAACAAAAGGATTATTCTTATAGCACAAGGAAAAAAAACCAAGCGCAATTTAAATTGCTACAAGCAAACAAATGATGTTTGAATAAGGAGGTCAAATAAGAATTATCATTTAAATAAATAAAAACTAAAAAAGGTTCGATAAAAAAAACTTAATTAAATTGATAAAACAGTTCAATAAAATGGATAAATAAATAATTTTAGTTTTTATTATGGAAAAAATAACAAGTAAGGATATTTGTGAAAGTGTCATTTTTTAAGAAATAAACCTACCTTACTATCTTTAATTTTTAGATTTTATGAAAATATAGATTAGATTTATATAATGTTTCAATTTATATAATTTTAGATTTTATATAAATTTATGTTTTGCCTATAGCATGTTTGTAATTTTCCAGTTTATATATTTTCTATATAAATGATGTAAAATTAGAAATAAATATTTTGCATAAATATTATGGTAACATAAATAAATATTCTACATAAATAATAGTCGGAAGTCGTTATGGAGAAATCTTCAGAGGAAGGCATTGACTCACATTGGGCTGTCTGGTCAACTATGATGATGATGATATAAATAATAAAAAAATCTTTAAAACGGAACAACATGTGAATTAGAAAAATTTATAATAACAAATTTGATTTGTACACTAATTAATTTTAATTTAATCTTTTTTTCAAAAGCTTTTTTAAATGCTTTTAATTTTTTTTCCTAGAAGTAAAGTTGTATTTAAATAAGTGTGATTGGTTAATTGTCGAATGAAATGAATAAAAACTAAGTTATTTCCCTCTCAATTCGCTCAGAGTAAATTTCCTTCTGTATTTGCTGTAATTTTTATGTTGCTAAAAAAGAAAAAAAATCATTTTAAAGAAAAAACGTGTTTAAAACTTATTTAAATCTTAATTATTTTAAAATTTAAGGAAAATTTATATATTTTTTTTGCCTTTTTTGTTAAGTAATTTGTGATTTTACGCAAAAATAAGAGTTTCAAATTAAAGGAAAATATTATTTTTAAACAATTATTGATCTCAGTCTTTTCAGAATTTAATCAAAAAACTAACTCGGATCCATATTCCAGATATAAAATGTTTTTTTTTTTTTTTTTTTTTTTTTTTTTTTTTTTTTTTTTTAAAATAAAAGACTAGCAGCTATTGGTGAGCAGCTTGGTCACCTTTCAAAATTACCTTGTTCAGCAAATAAACTTTAATGATTACCAAATCGAATGCACAGCGCAACTGTATTATAATTAATATTGTAATTCTCCAATCCCTTTTCTCCAATCCTAGTATCTTAATTAGTTCTCAACTATATATTAATCGAATTCGTTTCACCATCCAGCTGTTGCCTTTATTGATTTTTTGAAGTACTTCGATTTCAATTTTATGTACCTTCAAGAGATGTGCGCGATATTGTCTTTATGTATTGAACTTTAGGGATAATTCAAAATCAACACAGCAGCCAAACCTCCATAAGTGTGTACTTAGAACATTTCGGCATAGTAAACAGCGAGAATATTAAATTCTTTCCATCTTTCTCGTTTAACAGAAAACTTTTCCCAATGCTTTTTTACGCGCTGTACTTCTTCCTCACGCACCTCTCGAGCCATAACTTGAGTATCGTATAATATGTATACGCTATTACTCGAAAATGTAATTTCCGTCACCAATAATTGGTATGACAGTATGCGACATGATTGCACCGCTTATGTTTGAAATTTCTATTGTCATTTTAGAAAGGATTGAAAATTAAATCTGAATAATTACTTCGTCACTAAGCTTTTATTTCTATAAAAATACAAAATTATTCTGAATAAATACTTAAGATAAATTTTTAATATTGCTTAAATTATTATTTGAGACAACCCAACAATTTGAATAATTACTATAGTGTTGCCAAAAGATAGAGAAATACCCGAGATCATGGTACCATATAGGAGAAATGTGTGCAATACTTTTTCCCGTTTTTGGATCGATATAGATCTACTCGTTTACATAAAAATTTCTTTTTAAAAACAAAAGGCTATGTTCAAAATCATACTTTTTTTTATACTTAATTCTTTGAAACATAATTGTTCTAAAACATAGCATGTAAATAGCATACAAAATTGGAATAGGTTTTTTTTTTCAACTTTATTTTTCATTTTTTTCCTTTTGTTCAAAAAGAAGGATATTTTCTGAAAATGCTCACAAGCTCTTATTGATTTTATTTAATAACCGTCGTTGAACAGCCAACCCACTTTTATGGGTTTATGACTACTAATGTTTAACTCCGTAGCCTTGTAATTTTGATCCCAATCCAGAAAACAAGGGAACTCCTGGATTAAGTATTGGGAGAAATTTGCCTTCGTGGAGGACATTTTGATGGAGCTAACCCGCATTTGCGTTACATGGAGAAGAAGACCACGAGAACCTCCCAAGGTTAACCTGACTGCAAGGGGACTCTAACCCATGATCCGTCTACCACTGAGGATATTTCACGAAAGGTGGTCGGTGCAAGCCGGATGCGGAATTCGTATCGACTGGGATTCGAACCCTGTCCGCCTCATTAGAAGGTGAACGCTCTATCCCCTGAGCCATCGCGGCTTTTCTCATTATATTAAAAAAAATCGTAAGTAATGATGCCTCAGCTGTTTTGGGGTGTTTAACTTATGTTACCTTTTGTTTCAGCGTACAAAAATTATGAGACTTAAAACTTGAAATTTCGCAGTGGTGTGAAAAACATACAGGGAGCAGGAGGGAATAAAAAAATTAAAACAGTACTAAAAATTGAAACAGTACAGTAAACAATACTAAACGAGTCGCTGTGCAGCACGCAAAGAGGCAACTACAGATTAGAAATTTGATGTCCTGAAAAGGACAATTTTATATGTGACTTAAGTTTTTTTTTTTTCTAAGTTAAAATTTATTCGAAAGTTATTGCAATTTTAAGGACATTTTAGAATTTTTTTCTTAATTTTATTTCCTTTAAACAATCAGCCTTTATTCATTGCTACAAAAAATTTATTAACATCTCCCTAGATTTTTTGCTTTGTAAGTTCGAATTTAAGTTGATATCGAAAGAAAAAAGTGAGAGACATAGATATTTGATGTTGCCAAAAATAAATCATAATATTTATTTTGAAAGTTTTAATAATATAGATAACTTAATTGCATAGAGATAAAAAAAAAACATTTGCTGTTTAAACTGTTGTAATAATATAAGTCTCGTTTGTGAGCTAAATTACCTATAACATATATTTCCTTATTGAGTTACAAAATTCGTATTTCTAAGTTTAAATTTTCATTCCAAGTATAGCTGATTATTTTTCAAATTCAGGAAATGGTTCATTTCGCAACATTTAATAACTAAACAAAATAATCTTACATTAAATTATAATAATTATATATTTTATCAACAAAATGTTCGTTGTTTTTATGGACAATATCGACTTTCAAGAAGCGGAAAGCAATGATGCATGAGAAGTAATCACTGGGATTGGTGAGTGGAGCGAGCAGAGGTCGGAGCCTTTTATTTATTTATTTATGATCATTGTTATTGCTTTAATCTTAAGAGAAGCTGCATCAGCGATTAAGGCACTGAATTATCATTGTGAAAGACTGGGGTTCGATCTCCAGTGGCGCGTTGAAGCTCAGATCGATGGTACCAACTTGTCTGGGAAGTAAAAGCGGCCTGTGCGCAGGGCCGATCACTTTGTGAAAATCATGCCGTTTGTCACGTAACTGTGGAGCCTTCATCTCCCTGGCCCACAACGGACTGTTGCGGGATCACTTTACTTCATTTCTTTTTGTAAGAATTGTGTAAAATTTTCTCGTTCGTATTAGATTCTATTATGCTCTCTTGTCATGAAATTTTGATCTTCCAGTCGAATTATTGCTAACACTCTTGCTGTCAAACATTAGTAAAGTTATGATTACGCATTTACATTTAATAAAGTTATGATTACGCATTTGCATTTAATAAAGTTATGATTACGCATTTATATTTTAATAAAGCTTAAATTATATTTTAGCCTAAATTAAATTTTAATAAAGTTAATTTAAGCTTTTATCAACATGAGCATTTTAAGCTTTTTTTTAAGTAATAAATAATGCTTGTTTTTTTATTCAAACTGTTAAATTATTAGATAGATGATAGATGGTCTAAAGGTCATCCTACTAAGTTTCATTACAACGCCGCCTCAATAACTCTGTGTACAGTCACAACTTTATCATTGAAATCTTCTTTGTATCATTGGTAGCAATTTACAATTTCTGACAGCAACTTAATCCTTGAGATACATTCAGAGAACAGGAGAGCTTATTACAATACAAAAAAATATCCGCAAAGATAACATTATTCTACTATTTCAGATGGCAGGGCTTGAAATCTTTTTGTCTCTGTACATTTGTTTGGTTGATGAGGCGGGCAGTCATTCTTTCTTATCTTCCATGACTAAATTCTGGCAGCCTGCCAATAAAAGATGAAGGAGAATCCATACAAATGAAGCTTGCAAGGAATATTTATAAAAATGATCATCTTTACCTGCAGTATAATTAGGATTAATTTGTATCATTGTTTCCTTAATCAGTATCAAAGATTACTTGATTTGGAACAATAAAATAAACATTTTAAACATAAGCAATTTTGTAAACTAAGTAGTCTTTAAAAAATTCTTCAGGGAATTAGGCTGAAAAAAGTTCTATTAACATTGTACAACATTCAATGCAAATGAAATTTGTAAGGAATATTTATAAAAACGATCATCTATATCTTCAATGTATAACAAAATATGTATTTATATGTATCATTGTTTTCGTAATTTGTATCAAAGATTGCTTGATTTGGAACAACAAAATAAATGCTTAAAACGTAAAAAATTTTGTACACTGATTTTGTTTTGTAGCAGAAAAAAGTTCTATTCAACATTGTACAACATCAATAAGTGCAATTTTATATTGATCAAGATTTATCAGCTTAGCGAAGGGACTTATATAACTAACTTGTGTAAATTATCGATTATTCAAGATTTTTACTAAATAAAAATTACCCAAATCACTACCAGTTGCTCGATATTTTACGAACTCTTAAATTGCTATTTTATAAACTATGCTTTCATTTTTTTTCTTCAAAAACCCGCTCAATTATTAAAAAAGTAATAGGTTAGTTTAAGAAAATATAACCAAATTTACTTTATGCCCATGCCTAATAAGAACATTTCTTGTAAAAGTTTATTTATTTCATTATATCATTTATTGAATGATTAATTTAAGAATTATCCTTCATATCATCAATAATCATTTATATTATCATTCATTCAAAAATATTTTAATCTATATTCACTTAGGAAATTCAAAACGCAAGGAGCTTAATTTTTTTTTCATTAAAAACTAATTTAAAAATTTGCTTTCTGTGTATCGTGTAATGAAGAAAATGTTTTCTCAAAGTTATTTTGCATATCCACTTTTAGCTTTTATGTAAAGGATTTCGACCCCTACTCGCTACTTCTTACCAACCCCTATTAAAATTTTTATTAATTTTATGCCAGTGACATTTTTACAAGTCTTACGCAGCCGTCCTACTTTTCAGATTACAAAAAAAAATTCAGACTAAAATTTGAATTTTTGTTTGAATTTAAAATTTGTGTTTCTTTTTATTATAGAATAAATTTAAACTTGCACAAAATCTGACATTTCTGATAATCATCTTCAAATTCTCCGCTAATTCATCGTTAGTGTTTCTTTTTATTATAGAACAAATTTAAACTTGCACAAAATCTGACATTTCTGATAATCATCTTCAAATTCTCCGCTAGTTCATCGTCAGTGTTTCTTTTTATTAAAGAATAAATTTAAACTTGGACAAAATCTGACATTTCTGATAATCATCTTCAAATATTTTTCGCTAGTTCATCGTCAGTGTTTCTTTTCATTATAGAATAAATTTAAACTTGGGGACAAAATCTAACATTTCGGATAATCATCTTCAAATTTTTCGCTAGTTTATCGTCAGTGTTTCTTTTCATTATAGAACAAATTTAAACTTGGGGACAAAATCTAACATTTCTGATAATCATCTTGAATGTACAATTTCTATAAGCCTATTTAATTCCATACAAATTCTATAGCCAATTATGTGGACATCCAAAAGTTTACTTTATTTGATTTTGTTAAGTTTAAAACTTTTTTTCTTAAGTAAGTTTTAAAAAAAATCAACGAAGTAACTTTTTTTCTGAATTTATGTTAGAAAATAAAGGTTCCAAATATTTTAACTGCTATAATTGTTAAGTAACAAATCTAAGAAATAAAATTATTTATGTTTTTTTTCTATCTTTGTGTTTTCTTGTTCCTCGTTTTCAGTTAACTTAGAGTGCGCTTAGAGAAACTTTAGAGAGTATTAAACCATAATATAGGGCACATTGACCTTAATCTAAATAGGGTGCGAAAGTGCCATATATTTAAATAACCTATCATAAATATTATTCTAACCCTAGAATTATTTTTTATCTTATATGTTACCAAGAGTTTATATTAAAATTCAAAACTCAAAAGGCTGTATACTAATGAACAATTAATAATGAAATGCATTAATATTGCCAATGAATTATACAGGTAGTTGCATCAAATCATATGTTTGATTTGATCGATAATATTATGGCATGCCGTGATGGCTCAGCCTTGATAGCTCAGGGGATAGAGCGCTCGCCTCGAAATGAGGTGAACCGGGTTCGAATCCCAGCGATGACTGGTCGATCCGAACTCTACACCAGCTCATAACGATCACAGTGCTGACGTAAAATATCCTTGGTGGTAGACAGATAAGGGATTAGAGTCCCCTTGTTGTCAGGCTAACCATGGGCATTTTCGTGGTGTTCCTCACCATGTAACGCAAATGTGGGCTAGCTCCATTAAAAAGTCCTCTACGAAGGCAAATCAGTCTCAATACTTGATCAGCACCTGGGAAGGGATAGTCTGGTCGGTAGGACGTTGTGCTTGTGTTCCTGAGATCATTAGTTCAAATCTTGCCGACCGAAGAATCCCCGTGTAATAAATGATGACTGGTGCACGTTAAATTGGTCGGGGTCACAAAGTCCTCCAAGTTTCCACGACAAATCATACCTCAGGGGGTACTTATCCAGAAGTTCCCTTGTCTTCTAGATTGGGTTCAAAATTACAAGGCTACGAAATGGAACATTGGTAGTCGTAAACTCAAAATTGTGTCAGCTATACAACGACGGCTACATTCATCAAAATATCCTAAATAAAATAGTAACATGCTCCTAAATTGGTATTTTTGATGAAGTTATTGTTATAGAATTTTTTTGTACAATTTCTTTGAATAAAAAAATTTAAAAAGTAGATAAAATATAAATATTTTCTTATTATATAATTTTGCTCTGCGAGTAGTTCAAACAAAAATAATTCTTTTAATTTTTTTATGTTTAAATCTCGTTTAATTTTTAAAATGAAATTTCGTTTAAAATAAATCTTTTGTTTTATGCTAATCTTTTGTACAGACTGCATAAAACAAAAGATTTGTCTGTCTAAAAATAATCTTTTGTTTTATGCTAATTTAAGGGGACACGGGACCTTTGAAATGAAAAGTTATGAAAACTTGTTTTTTAATTTAATTTTACTATTATGAGCATAATTTATTTATTTTTTAGCATATTTTAGGAAATAGGCCAAGTAAAAACAATTTTGGTCAAAATTTTTTTAAAAATTTAATAAAATATGAAAATTTTAAAAAATACAAAAATTGTCCCTTGTGTCAGAAATTTCATCCAAATAATTTAAAATTTTTTCTATAGATAGATAATGATGATATAAAGACTCTCTAGCATCAGTTATTGTTTCACTTCAAAAGGTTTTGAGAAAAAAAATTTTTTTTAGTTCCGACGTTTTTTTTTTCGGAAATTTTCATTTCCTCCTACAGTTAAAGTTGTATAAAAAACTTTATAATTAATATTTCGTGAAAACAATGCTACATTGTCTTTATAACAGTCATATGAAGCATATGAAAAATATTCAGGCAAAATTTTCAATTATTCAGACACAAGGGACAAATTATAGATGTAAATTATGCAAAAAAAGTTAACGGAGAAGAACTACTTTTTTTGTGTAAATTAACTAAAACTCACTGTAATAGCTATAATATCATGCTTAAAGTATAAAAAGAACTTCCGATGTATTCTTAATATAATAAATGCTAAATTTTTACCAATACAAACGATTTTTGCATAAAAATATTGTTCGTTATGCATCATATCAATATGTCATATGTAACCTTGAAACAAAGAAAAAAGATTATTTTTGTGTGCATAAAAATTACACTAAAAACATTATTCTTTATAATTTTAATAAAACAAATAATATATTTGATACCAGATAAGAAAAAAAAATTATTGACATTGACATAGGAAAAGCATATTGCAGAATTTCGATAACATGCTAGAAAACTTACATACTAATGCTATATTAATTAATTAATTTATTAATGCTATATTAATTAATTAATTTNAAGTTAATTTGGCGTTGCCAAACAGTGTCACATTATACTAATTAAAAAATATTTTATAGAAATATTGATTTGAACATAAAAAAAAATCAAAATAAGCTTGATAACTACAATGTAAACAAACAGACAGCTTATGGAACGTCAAAAGTGCCACGCCCACTTTTCAGAAAAATAGCTATAAAATCATAAAAAATCATCGTATCGAAAAAATTTGAACAACACGTGATTCAGGCTGACTATCTTTACATTTTTAACCAAAAAAAATTTTTTTTG